ATATAACTGCACATCCTATTATTATCCATAATGGGTAATAATCATCACTGTGAAGCTTCAAGAGGTGCAGGCCAGCTGAGATTGTGGATAGCATCCAAGAGGAAAAAGGACCAGGTCTGGATGGGGCACAGCAGACAGTCAACCCAGGCTTGGCTGTTGGAGCTAAGGGTTACTCTGGGGTGCGGAGCTAGGAGTTGCTGCAGTTAATTGCAGACAAAACACACTGACTGCTTCTTTATCCAGCACTGTATCTGCATCTTATGACAGCTACAGTTTGATCACTTTGTCCCTTTCCTGTCCAGAAAATAGATTTTATTTGCATGGTCAGATGCAAATTCACAGTTCCAAAGCACACTTAAACAACTGTCAGTGATGAATTCAGCAGCTTAACACTAGAAACATGTATTATCTCCCAGTTTCTGTGGGTCAGGAAAACAGGCTCAGCTTAGTCGAGTCCTCTGGCCAGAGTCTCTCACAGGCTTCAATCAAGGAGTCAGCCTGGGCCAGAGTCATCAGAAGGCTTGGCTGGGGACAATCTGCTTTCAAGCTCACTCACGTGGCTGTGGCAGGATTCTTCTCCTTTTGGGCTGCTGGACTGAGGGCCTCGGTTCCTCACAGGCTGTTGGCCAGAGGCACCCCTCAGTTCCTTGCCATGTGAGCCTCTCCATAGGGCAGCTCATAACATGAAACTGGCTTCCCTCCGAGCAAGCAAGCAAAAGAGCAAGACAAGACAGAAGCCAGAGTCTTTCTGCATCCTAAAGAGAAGTGACATCCCACTACTTTTGCCATATTCTGCTCATTAGAAGTGAATCACCAGGTCCAGTCCATACTCAAAAGGAGGGAATTACACATGGGCATGAATACCAGGATGAGGGGGTCACTGGGAACCTTCTTAGAAGTTACCCATCATAACAATTATGCTTTTTGAGAACATTGATTGTAATGCCCTTTCAAATAGAACGGCTTTTAAAATTACTACATTTACCACATCCCCATTGGAAATCTCATGCATGTTGCCCAACCATAGAACATTATCTTAAGAGAATGATGACACTGGTATAAGCCATTCTTGTAGCCATCAACCTTGTTATGCTACTAAAGGAACATTGTTTTAGTGCTCCAATCTTTCTTCCCTAGAATTCAGCCAGCTTCTATTTGAGTTTAACAGAGGAGTCAAAGAAATGCTCTTCATTATCACCAGAATTATAAAATGACACAACTAAAAAAGAATTTTTGCATTCACCTAGCTCAACTCTTTCATTTTGCAATGTAGAAACAGGCTGAGAGGGGAAGTAACTTGCCCATGGCACACATCTGGTTATTAGAGTAGCTGGGTCCATGTTAGGTTTCAGCGAAATTAATGTCCCAGTTTAGGGCAGGGCCAATTGCACTGTCTCCCCTGGGAAGCCTGCAGCTTGAATGTGCATTAAGAAAATTAGGATGGAAAATAAAGCAAGGGAAGAAAAAAGTGAAAGAGAAAAAGAGGAGAGGAAGAATTCTAAGAAAGCCGGGACTGCAAAAGAGGAAAGAAGACTAAAACATATTCACCACAAGTACCACTGGGGGGCTCTGTGATTTTCTGATGTAGCTGTTTTAATGCAGTGACATTCTGATGCACCCACATCAAAACAAAAAAACGTTTAGTGTGCAGTCACTGACAGGTAGCACGCACAGTGGTTAGGACTGTGGACTCTGGAGTCATAATGCCTGGGCTTGAATCCAATCTCTGCCACTAGCTGTGTGACCTCTGCAAGTTACTGAACCTCTCCTACCTCATTTTCTAAAAAGGGGATGATAACAGTATATATTGCATGGGATTGCCATCAGATTAAATGAGTTAATAAATGTATATATAGTACTTACAACAGCACCAGGCACATGGAAAATTCTGTAATTATCAAGTGACAAGGGCAACAGACTTACCTTTTTCCAGCCCTCACCTAGGTTTGAAGATGGAGTGAAGCTAGGGATAGGGGATAGGAGGTAGGACAAGGCATAGAGATGGGGAAGGGATAGCAGTAAGGGTAAGTAAAGAGGAAAGTTGTGCATGTCACTGGCAATGTGCGGCCAGATCAGAATGCTTCGTGCATCACCAAGCAAATCAAATAGACTGTATTAGAAGGTCCTTTTGCCCACTCAGGCATCCTCCTAATCCTTTTTCAGATCATTCTTCTACCCCCTCCTCACATTCTCCCGGTTGCTCACCCTCTAGGAGACTAATCCCCAGTGTGTAGAGCTGCGATGTCATTGAAGTAATAAACTAGAAATTAAACTATTGTATTACAACTATTATGTAGTATCAACATTATTTAATTCTGCTTTTTGTTTGGTACTGTCACTGTGGTTCCCAGTTCCTCCAGAGCTTTTTCTTCTCTGGCATTGTACTTTTTACTCAAGCATGTATGAGGAACATCAATTGCTGTTCAAACGAGAATTTGCTGAGCACCTATTATGTCCTAGATACTGTCCTAAGCTTTAAATTGACTTTTACAATAACCCTGTATATTAAGTATTGTTATTCTACGTGTAGAGATGAGGAAAACTGTATGTAGAAAAGTTGTCACTTGCCCAAGATTCCATTCATGTAGTCATTCCTTCGGCACTATCCCACCCCCCGCCCCACCCCAACTACTTCTGTATCCTAAGTAGTCTTCGAGACATCAAGACTTACCTGCATCTCACAAGGACCCCAGGCTGCCTGCCCCATCCTGGCTTCCTGGACCAGAGCTGGGGCCTGAAGAGAAAGAACAATTCCAAGCAGAAGTTGAAAGAGTTGTCATTTAAGCAGGGTCTTTATGAGATGGTAACACCGGGGGACACAAGCAATGTTGTTTCAGTGCCCAGTAATTGTTACACAGAACCAGGACAAGAACTCAAGAGAGTGTAGTGTCATTTTCCCACTTCACAGATTTGCCCTGTGGGATTCACTGCAAAAGAACCTGGACAGGAAATCACTGTCTCCCAGTGGCTGAGGTGAAGGGGCAGTCTTGGGACACCAGAATACAGGGTGGAAGGACATGAGAAGGACATGAAGGATGACCCCAGGACTCTCAGCAATTCCTGCAGTAAGGAGGGAATTGAGGGGTCAGAAGCACTTTGCACAGGTGGGAATGATGAGGTAGTGAGATGTGTTATTATGGTTAATTGTGGCTTCATTTGTACAGATGAGAAATGAGGTCATACAAAAATAAGACAAATTGTCCTCAAATAAATGAAATTTTGTGGAGTCAGACATGCAAACAGATCATTAAAAAGTAACAAGCACTATTATAATCAAACACTCAGGAGAGAATTCACAGAGAAGGTAACAACTGAGTGAGCCTCTGAAGGACAAACAAGAGTTTGCCAGATGAAAAAAAAAAGAGGAAGGAATATTCTAGCTAGAAGAAATCTCACATGCAGAGGTTTAGGGTTCTGAAAATTCTCTTTTCTGGAGGATGGAGAGGTCAGTTAGGGGCAGAAGATAAAAGGGCACAACAGGAGATCTGGAATTTATTTTATAAGTGACAGAGAACCAGCCCATCAGCCCAGACTTTTAAGCAGGGGTATCATAAAATCACTTTTTTTGGAAAGGTATTTCAGATGGAAATTTGGACAATTAACTGAGAGGAGCAAGGTAAATGGCGATGGGGTAAGGACCAGGGCCAAAGAGTATTGGGACTGAGGAAATAACTTATGCAAAGACCCAGTAGCCAGAGATCACAATCTTGGTTCAGAAACTGAAGGAGGTTCTGTGTGGCTGGAGCACACTTGGCTGTCGGAGGGGAGGGAGAGGATGGCAGCAGCAGGAGAAAGAAAAGAAGGCTGCTCACCTGCATGCAGAATGCTGTGGGTTCAAGTGGCAAGTTCAAGTTGAAGTTAGAGCAGAGCAGAGGAGTTGTCAGGCTTTGAAGGATGACCCTGTTCCTTTTTCATTCCTGAATCCTGCTCTAGCACCTAGCCTGGAGGATGGAGATGGGAAAGGGGGATGGAAGAGGAGGGTGAGATGGTGAGGGGCTTCGAAAATATGTTCTTGAATTAAACTAGAGAACTGAAGGAGACAAGTCTCCAGCGGAGCCGAGCGAGGGCTGGAGGCTGCTGTAAATGGTCGAGTCGGATGATGCCCTGCGGACCAGTAATTTGGTCTGCAGACCGGAGTAGATTACGGAGACCTTAAGAGTCAGGCTAAGGACCTTGGACATCATTCAGGATACAGTGGAGAGTGGCCTCTGGAGCCTGAACTATGCAACGTGCAGTGTGTCTACTCAAGTACCCACACATTTAGAAAATGAGAATTTAGAAAATCTTAATTCTCATTTAACATCGCAAAAAAATTCCCATAATGCCTCCAAATCTTAAAATAAGCAAAGAACTACCCCTATTCGCTGGGACCAGAAGACCAGTTCCTACCGCGAGTAGACAATATCTGCCTTACACTGAAGGCTCCCTCTCTAGGGTTGTCTGTAAAGAACGATTGCAAAAACAAACAAACAGGAAAACCACCCACCCAACCTCAATCACCCAACTGGTGAGTTTCGAAGAAATGAAATGCTTTAAAAGAAGAAGCAAAAAGAGAAAGAAAGAAAACCCAAAACACAGACCGGCCACAGAAACCTAAACCCATGAGAGTGGCATTTGAAAACCATTTTCTGGAGCATCTTTTGTAGCCAAATCGCAGCCACCCTGGTCCCCAGAACACCCCCGCCCCCACAACCAACACCACACACGCTCGCAGGATGACGGAGGTTGGCGGTGGTGCCGCGGCTCAGGTGAGGGGCCACCCAGTCCCCTAAGGCTCAGGCGGCTGGAGCCCATTCGCTGCCGCCACAGCTGCAGGGCGAGAGGGGGTTGGCCAGGAGGGGGAAGGGGCGGGGGACGCCAGGGAGGACTGCGGGGGAGGAGGGCCGGGAGGACGCGAAGGAGAGCAGGGAGGGGCAAGAGCACGACGCGGGGAGCGGGAGCGGCGGGGGCGCGCGGGCGCGGGGCCAGCCTCTCTTCGCCGGGGTCGCGGGCGGACGCGCGCCGCAGTCCGAGTCAGACGCGCGGGCGCGGGGGACAGCGCAGGAGCCGCCCGGCTGGGGCAGCCAGAGGCGACAGCTTCCTCAAGAACGAACGACATCTGCGCTCCACGGTCCTGGGCAGCAGCGCCGGAGCTGAGCGGTGGGCGCGGCGCGAGAACGTGAGTAGCTCGGTGCGCGTCTGGCGGTGACACTCGGTGGGGGGCGCGGGACACTGCTGCGTTGTCACTGGGATACCGGACCGAGGGGCAGACGAGCGCTCTCCCGGATGGCAGCGCCTGCGGCAGGGGCGAAGCAGGTCGCCAATTCCCTTGTCCCTCGCAGGCCGCCGACACGGCCGCGGGCGCCGGGGAGTGGAAGGGACGGGCACCTGGTGAGGGGGCAGAGGAAACACAGCAGCCCCGGCGGGCGCGGGCGGACACCGCCAGCTCTTCGTCTGCGGCCAACTTCTGCATCCGCGCCCGCGCCGCACGCTTTTCGGGAGCCCTGCCTGGGGGTCTCCCTGTGGGCAGCGGGACTGGAGAGACTGCAGGGGCCCGGCACTGTAACAGCTTCCCGGGCATGGGCACGGAGGGCGCGGGCTGTCGCTCCACACTGCGGGTGGGCGAGGGGCGCAGGGGCCCGGCGCGCAGGGGCGTGAGCGCGTTCGGGTCCCCACGGACACATCTGGGCGTGGGCTTTGTTCGGATGTGCTCACACCTGCGCGGATCACCGAGTTCCGGGGCGAGGCCGACTCCCCCTTCCACTCACTGCCCTGGGGAGGACTCGGGGAATCGGGGGAACCGGGAGAGACACTGAGGACAGCGGGGTGGGGGCACTTACGGGGTCTTTGTTGGACCCCGGGGTTCTCAGCGCCCCGCCCAGCCTCTGAGGGCTGGGACTCGTCCGGGCTGGCGCGCCGGGCTTGGAGCTGTCTGGAAAGATCCCCTCCCGGCCCAGGCTCCCAGGGTGGGATCTGACAACAGCTTCGCCAGGGACTGTGTTGAGCCAGGAGTGATTGCCCCCCGCTGCCGCATCCCTCTGGCAGCGAGCGCCATCTGCGCAGTGCGCCGCCCCCGGCCCCCTCCACGCCGCGCGGGTGGGCGCCGCAGCTTCCTGGTCCCCGGCGGTTCGCCGGGGCAGCCTCTCCCGGCCCGCACCTGCCAGCGCGCAGAGGGGGACCGGGATGTCGCGGTAGGGTGAGTCGGGGAGTCATTTCTCCCAGAGCGGTGTGCTCCGGGCAGCCAGCGCCACGGGAGGGTTTCTAGGCTCGGGGAGCTGGTGGACAGACCGCTTCCCTCCCCTGGCGATCGCCTCCCCTCCCGCCCGGCTCCCGGCCCGTGGCCGCGTCTTCTGTCCCCGGCAAGCTCGCGGGCGGCCCCTGCACAGCGGCGGGCACCGAGCGAGGGCGCCTAGCGGTGGGGTCTCTCGCCCACCCCCCCTTCTCTCCTACTCTTTTCCCATCAGCAGCTCCAGCCCGAGGCTGCACCCGGCCCAGAGCTGTCCCGAGAGGGAAGCGTTTTTTCTCCTTTGCGGTCCCGGAAGGTTAACACTCATAAGTGCGGGTCTGAGGGAAGGGGCCTTTCCTCGCCCCAGGCTCTTGCAGGAAGAGATGGAGCTGAGTGTAATGGGGCAGGAGGCATTGGTTCTGCACCAGGAGCTCCCCCTGGGGTAGTCCTGGGAAGGAACACAGTAGCCACTGAATACAAACATGGACCGAGCTGTTGGGTTGGGACTGCTTTATGCTAACTATGCTCTGCTATTAAAACATTGTAATAATAATTGCTCGGTAAGTGAATGAGACCTTACAGAAGCGTTCAAATGGACTTAGGCAATTGAATACTTCTTGTTTCTTTAATGGTAATAATAGTCAACATTTTGGGGGGAGCTTCACATGTGTGGGGCACTGCGCATGTTACATGTATCATCTCATAATCCCCACAACAACTCCATTTTTAAAAGAAGGAGATGGAGGCTTAGACAGGTCAAGTAACTTTCCCAAAGCAACACAACTAGTAATTAGGGGAGCTGGATTAATTTTTTGCCCCTGTGCTTTACTTTCCAAGACTGTGAAAATGTGCCTTTTGGAGGCTTATGACTCCTAGTTTAGGAGAACTCTAAAACCACCGAGCGTTCAAAAACAGGGACGTATATTACAAGCCCATTTAATTCCAAGACTTGCAGACTTCACGGTAACACAATATCGTAATTCAGATAACTATATTATGGAATAACATTTTATTCCCCCGTATTGTCCTTAATGTGTTCTGTTATTCCTGTTAGCTTTTAAGTATGTGGCTGTTAACCCACAATCCAGCCCATTACAGTCACTGATCTGTTCTTAGTAACCAGAGACCCCTGCAATTACAGAGAGATGTTCTTGGCATATCATAATCTTTAAGAAAACTTTTTTTTTCCTTTTTTAAGAAAAGGCGAACATTTCTATTTTGCAAACATTTCTATTTCAGGCCCCCAACCATGAGTGTTCTTTGTAGACTTTTGACTAAAGAAGAGTCACTCCTCACATTGGATGTTGAGTTTGAATAGGACCCTAGTTTACAATCTTAAGAAAGCATTCAGTATCCTTAATACATAGGAATGTGTGATGCACTTACAAGGATGCTCCATGTTAACTAGTAGAAAAGAAGAATTTGAACTAAAGTGAAATCGGCTATTCCTAGAATAGCTTTTAGAATTTTTATAATTAACTGATCAATTGGAAAAATGGATTCATTTTGCATTCGTAATCCTACTGACTCATGGTCTTCTTTCAACCTTCTTTCTACTTTACTGCAGGAAAGTTGCTAAACATGTCGCATAATCTAGGAATTTTAGAGCTATAGGAACTCACGCAACATTGCATCTACCCTTTGAGTTTCAAAATGAGTATAACGGGGCTCAGAGAGGCCACCTAGCCTCGTAGTGCAGGGTAGTGATGTGGTCTTTGGACCGAAGGCCAGTGTCCTTATGCTACATCATTGCTGTTATTGCAGTAGTGACAATAAAAAAAAAAAGCAAGTCATCTTTGGAAATGGTACTTCCTGTGAGGCCAGTATGACACTGGTAACAATAATGGCTAATGTGAGTGCCTCAGAAGTGTGAGTTACAGGGCACTGAGAATGTATACACCTGAGCTGTAGAAAATTTCCTTAAGAATCACTTCACATAATGCTTTCATGTAAGTATAGTTTTCCTTTTGTGATTGTTTGAATATAAATAGAATCTGCAGATATTATATTATGAATGTAGAAGGGAACTATTTAATGGAACTCCACAGGAAGCTTTTATGGTAGAGAGATCATTCATTCATTCATTAATAAAGATTTACTGAGCTCATGGCCTGCTGTTCTAGGCACTGGGGATACAGTGGTGAGCAAAACAGGGTTTCTGTCCTCGTGGAGGTTAATTCTAATTTTATTGTCTATTGCTATATATTTCTCTACACACAGATTTTTTTTCTCACGTATCGTAAATGTACAGCTTGATGAACTTGCTCACTGATGTAACCAGCACTCAAATCAAGAAATAGTGTAGTGAATGTCCGAGAAAACCCCCTAGTGGCCAGTTACTCACCCCTGAGGGTCACTGAGACGCCCAGACTGATATTCTCACCATGAAATCATAAGGTACTGATTTGCTGCCTACATCAGCAGCCTTTGGAGTCTCATCCCCATTTTCAAAGAACAGTTTTCATCTGAGAAGCATGGCAACCCATGCAAATTCAACTGGAATAGAGAGCTCCTAACCTGTCTTCTCTAGGAAGTTTTGTGTGTTTCAATCCACAGACTGTTTGAGGTTGGCCTTCAACTGCTGCGATGCTGCAATGATTTGTGAAAAGGAAGTGATTTGAAAATGATTGAAAATTACTAAATACATTTAGATGTTCTTTTCCTTTTAAATTTCATGCTTTCCCACCTGAAGGAGCCCTGAACCTTCCAGGCAGGTGAGGACAGAGGAGAGACCTGGTTGAGAATCCAGTGGCTTATTTTATTTAACCCTTTGTCTGCCACACAAATGAAAAAAAGCCTCTATTGGCATCAGAGGCTGAAAGTTTCTTTCTCCCAGCTTTATTGAAGTATAACTGACAAATAAAAATTGAATATATTTAAGGTGTACAACATGATGTTTCCAAGAATAAGAAAATGTATACCAAAATGAAATGAATTTTATTTTTCTTCTCAAAATATGAAGGAGAAGACTACATAAGGAAAGAAAATATGGGAATGGCCCTGCCTCCAGCTTTAACAACTGTAAATCTTTCAATATCAGATTGTCTTTAAACGGGGGAGCAAATGCAATATATTTATATAAAATGCAGCATTTCTGCTAAGTTACTTTTTTATTGTGGGAAAATATATATAACAAAATTTACCATTGTAAAATGTATAGTTCCGTGATATTAGTTATATTCACAATTTATGCAGTTATCACCAGTGTCCATCTCCAAAACTTTTTTCATCTTTCCAAACTGAAACTCAGAACCCGTTAAACAATAACTCCTATCTCCCCACCCCCCAGCCCTTGGCAAACATCATTCTACTGTCTATCTCTATGAATTTGACTACCCTAAGTACCTCATATAAGTGAAATCATACAGTACTTGTCTTTTTGTGATTAGCTTATTTCTCTTAGTGTAATGTCTTCAAGGTTCTTCCATGTCGTAGCATGTGTCAAAATTTCCTTCCTTTTTAAAGCTGAATAATATTTTACTGTATGTGTATGCCACATTTTATTCGTCTGTTCATCTCTTATGGACTCTTGGGTAACTTCTGCCTTTTGACTATGAATGATGCTGTTATGAACTTGGATGTACAATTATGTTTGAGCCATTGCTTTCAATTCTTTTGGGTATATACCCAGAAATGAGACTGTCAGATCATATGGTAATTCTATTTTAATTTTTTTTGAGGAGCCACCGTACTGTTTTCTGTAGCAGTTGCACCATTTTACATTCCCACCAACAGTACACAAGGGTTCCAATTTCTCCACATCTTTGCCAACACTTGTTATCTTCTGTTTTCTTGATAACAGCCATCCTAGTGGGTGTGAAGTGCCACCACCGTTACTTTTCTCAGCTATAGATTAATATCTAAGTATTCTGAACAAGTTATTCACAATATTTTCTAACTTTTTGGTTTAACTTTTATTAATAAGGAGGTGTATGGTTTCCAACAAGTATCAT